TTAACAAATGGTAAACACCACAGCGTACACTATTGAGTTATGGATGCACGCGGGAGGTTGCTAAGCACGAAAGAAGCGTAAGAGTCGCTCGAGGCGATAGCCGAGAGCGACTCTAGCTTCTTGAGTGCTTAGCAAACCTCCCAAGTGCATCCATAACTCAATAGTGTACGCTGTGGTGTTTACCATTTATTTTATAACATAACATTGATACATTGTAGCTAAAGAGTTCCCTTTTATTTAACAAATCTTACGTGACCAGAAAAAACAAGCGCGCGCAGAAAAATAGTCATTGCATTTGCTCACGTCAGCAGCGTACACCCATGGGCAAATGGGGGGACACTAAATTGACCAATCAGAGTGTGCGCTTTAGTTTGGTTATGTTATAATTGAATGTTTTTACCAGGAAGTAGCATCACTTATGTACACTGTACATGTTTTTTCTTTGCAGACTTACAAGGGAACAGCTCTTTTACATAACTACTTGTTTTCTGTAAGTATAACGAGTTTTTATCAAACTCGTTTGACTTAATCAGCTCTTATCAAAGTTTCTTTTAATTTGCAAAGCTCGTGATTATTAAGGGTAGTGGCAATGATAATAATGTCAGTGATGATGTAAATGACAGATAATGTTTGTTTGTTTTACATGTTTTATTGTCTATAAGACTTGCATGTGCAATGAATGATGAGAAATATTTTCATTTTTGTTTCAGAATAACTTGTTTATTAATGTGCAGTTTATTTCTGCTCCAACGTATTTCCATATTGGAACCTAAAATCATGGCACAATTATCTTATCCTCCGGAAAAAATTCTTCTGTAAGTTGCATTTATTTCATTGAGGTTTTTAATCAGTTTTTTTGTATTAAATAAATTAAGCTAAAGGTAATATTTTTTTTTATTTACCTAGAATACATTCCTTAATATGCATAAATTATAAACAAATAAGTACAACTAGTTTTCAAGTAATAGAGCATTTGGTTTGTGTGTTCTAAAAACAAGTGATCACAGCAGCCATTCAAAGGGAATGAAAATTTACAGGGAGCCAATCAGAACTCATAGTAAAAACAAGAAACTTCATCAAGTGCTTGCGCAAATGACTAAAATGTGTATTCTATATACGAGGCTAAAAGATTAGGAAAAAATTATTAATAAAAATGTTTAAACCAAACGTTTTTGGCTGTTTACCATCATCAGGGTTGACTAAATGACTAAAATGCAATTACCAAAGTTTTATAGTTTTGTATGTTATTAGTTGAGAGGGAAGTGGAAGTTTTCTGGATCAATCACAGAGTAAAGTCAAACAGATAACAATGTTACTGGTATTTTTATTTTTCACATGATTTCTGATATTTATCATTTCTTCTTATTGATAATCATCTTGATGGTAATTGTTATTTTCAGACAAAAGTCCATGTATCAATTGTGGAAACTTCGTCAGGAAGTTTTTGATGCAGAAGTAGTTAGGTAAGGATATTTTTTACTTTTCTTGGATTAAAATGTTTATCATACCCCTGGGCCATGCCTCACACTATTTGAAAGCTCATGGGTATAACCTTCAGCAACTGTGGGAAAAAATGTGACTCTAATGTTTCATTGAACTTAATTCATTTCAAAATTAAACTTTCCATTTTTAAAAGGCCAGATGTACTTGTAAGCAGTTTCAAACTCAAGTCATTACAACTACAAAGTAATTAATATGTAATTGATATGCATGGAATAATTTTGCATTTTGTTTCACAGGTTTAAAACAATTGTAGCAGCCAATTTAAATGCAATCACACAGGTATGCCACTTGTTCAATTTAGAAATAAAAGACCTGTAAGTCTAAGTTGTTATGACCCGATGTAAATATAAAAGGCTCATCTATATATATAGCTGCAATTGGTTTGGTTACAATGGCAAGAAAAAAAATTGGCAATTTAAAAGTTGCTAATTTGGTGACTTGTGTTTGACTTCCAAGTAGCTTGTTTCAATATTATTATTACTATTTTTGTACTACTATTATACCAGAGCCTCTTATTTATTATGTAGTTATCAGGGTCTGTTGTTAAATTGAGTTAATCATTTGCAATTGTTATGTGATATTGTTGAATGTACGTATTTATTGTTGACTTCAATTTTATTTCTGGTGAATATTTTTATCATTTTAGATTATTTTGCAAGATTTATGCTTAGGGCCTTGATAAAATCTTAATTTGATTATCAATTCATACATCTTTATTTAACGAGGGTAACATATTAGCTTACAAAGTTTTCTAACATATGGCCCTCACCTTCCCACCCATCCCGCCCCA